TGTACTGAACAGTTCCTTTTTCTATTTTCAAATTAAAAAAAAAAAAATAAAAAAAAATCAAACCTATGAATTCGTTCATCTCTTCTGCTAAATGTACACTAGGTGGGAACACCCCCAACTCTGACGTCTCCCTAAGACATTGTGTGTGCTATGCTCCAGAGTCTCTGGAGATATTGAGCCCCCAGCCAGCATCCACAGGAGCTATCCGACCTAATGCAGGCTGGGCAGGGAAGCAACAGTGACGATTACTTTCCCCGATGAGAGGAACTCAGGGCATACTCACACAAGGACTTTTTTTTCTACTAATCTCTGGACGTGATTGCGGTCAGATTCATTCATCTCTGGCCGCAATCACAGTCAGATACATCTAGAAAAGTCCTGGTGTGAGTATACCCCTCAGTTCCTGTTGTGTGCCAACGAGCCTTAGAACGTCAGCATTTGACTTTCGCATTTTCGCATTGCCTATTGGTTGGTGGTGTAATGATGACATCCACAGGCACAATACGATCTGTGTCTTGGCTTGACTGTACAGTGTACATCAAAATAGCAAGTAAGTAGCAAAGGCGCAGGCAAGCCGTTTTCCTCTAAGGAGGTCTACACAAAGTGCGCCCACAACGGACGGTGGGAAATCCCGCTTCTCCATCGTCCGACAAGGGTTATGGGTTATGCAGTCAGAACCTGACGGCACGGCCGTGCCGCTGACACGCGCTCTGCTCTGCCGTCACCATTCTTACATAGCCCTCCAACGTTGCAGTGTCTCACATGCCTGACCTGGCCGTCTGACACCGTTTGCAGAGTGAGGTCAGCCGTCTGACACCGTTTGCTGAGTGAGGTCAGCCGTCTGACACCATTTGCAGAGAGGTTACTGGGTGTGGCTGGCTGCTGGACGGAAGGTCTCTTGCTCTCCGCGCTCCTGCTGTGCTGTCTCGGTGCGGCTACCGTCTTCACCCGAATAGAACGCAGCGCGGTCAATATCACAGAGTATGTGGCCAGAGAGTGGGCCAAAAATACAGCTATAATGACCAGGCGTTCTATTCGGGTGAAGACGGTAGCAGGAGGATTGAGAGGGAGAGGCCGTTCTTGCAGCCACCGCATTCCACTAGTCTTCCCCCCAATACAACGCAAGGTCATTATCGCCAAATTTGGTCTATCTTTCAGTCTAAATTCAGCTATGATGACCGTACGTTGTATTCGGGGGAAGACTGTAGTATGCAGACGGAATGCTACATTTTGTTCTGGCCAAACGAACCATCAATATACCAGGTGAGCCTACCGTCTTTTTTCACCCGAATAGAACGCCCGGTTATTATACTAGCTGTATTGGGGGCAATTTTTTAGACCAGATGCAGCGATAATGACCAGTAGGGGTTTCGTTCGGGTGAAGACGGTATAGGGTATAGGCTATGTGTTTCCTAGCTGGATGGAAGGCCTCTCGCTTTCAGCCCCCTTCTGCCAGAGCAAGTCGACTCGCGCAAGGCACCCCCCGAGGAGGGAGGAGTTGGCGAAACAGACAGCCAACTTCCCACTTTCCATGATGCACCGGCACAACAGACGGCCAAATTCCGTTATGATTGGCGAAACCGACGAGACTGATTCCCGATCGAATGTCCTCCTGCTGCACACAAACGAAGCTGCAGTGCACTTGACTGAAGTCACTGAACGCTTCACATTCCGCCGGTAGCGTCTCTCTGCTCAGAGTACGACTGCCCTGTGGCCGCCGCCGTGTATTTGAACTCTCTCTGACTTTTTTTTTTTTTTTGGTATTGCAAGCTCTCAGCTGCAATTGCCCCAACTCTCCGAGGATCTATGGGGTTCCGATGGTGTCCCGGCACACACAAAAAAAAAAAACAGTCAGTTTCCGACGAAGATACCGATCTGAAATTTGAACGCCCCTTCTCCAACGAACACCAACTGCCAAAGTTGAAGTCCGAGGACGCCCCGTATGTCGTTTTGATTTTGATAAAAAGAACACCAACTGCCAATACCAGTCAGTGGTGAAGGGGGCTAGGAGGGCGCAAGAGGACAGTCGGTCGGGACAAGTTGCTTCGTGATAAGCTGTATACTTCACAGTTGGGCAGTACCTTCCTGAGCTTGCTTCCTTAAGGTGCGTCAAATGTGATGCCGTACCTGGTCGGGTTTAGATCACAGACTTCGAACTTCAAAGTCCGCTTTTTCTATTGGCACGAAACTCGTTTGCCAGAAGGGCCAGAACTCAAAAGTGGGACTTTTGCACGTTGCCCTTCTTCTGTTTACGGACATAAGAGAGAGCGGACGACGAAATTTATCTTGTTTGAACTCTGAAGAGTGAAAAAAAAGCGAGCAGTCAAAAAAAAAAAAAAAAAAAAAAAAAAAAAAAGCGAGAAAAAAAAAAAAAAAAAAAAAAAAGCGAGCAGTTGCAAGCAGCGGATATGGCGACGGAAGGGGAGCTGGTAAACCATCGACCACGAGACCGTGCTCATGTGCAAGCAACACTACCGTCTTCCCCCGAACATAACGCACCCTAAAAATGAATGTATACGAGCTATATTTCCAGCCAGATGCAGCCAAAATAAGGGTGCGTTGTGTTCGGGGGAAGACGGTAGGTAGGCAGCGGCCTGGAATGACAGAGAAACAGGGGCTACCACTGCTTGCAAGTGACACGGCGACTTTGCACAGCCTGAAAGAACGAGCATGTTGAGCGCCATGGGCCCATGGGGAGGCATTCATGCCACCATTTTTTTTTTGGCTGCGGACAGCCAGACATGCTCTTTGAAAAGACGGTCCCATTTTTTTTTTTTTTTGGCTGCGGAGAGCCAGACAACGAACTGTGGCCCAAAAAGACGGTCCAGAAACTTGTGGGGGGGGGGGGGGGGGACACTGCCACCAGGAGCGGTGCAGTTCTACGACCAGGTTCATGCTCAGGAGCGGTGCACATGGCTTTGAAAAGGCCGCACCACGGCTGCTGAGACAAGCACAAGCGGAACTTTGTTGCTTGCAAAGGTAGAGACGTTTACGATGAGCCCTCAGGAGCGGTGCAGTTCTACGACCAGGTTCATGCTCAGGAGCGGTGCAGTTCTACGACCAGGTTCATGCTCAGGAGCGCTGCAGTTCTACGACTAGGTTCATGCTCAGGAGCGCTGCAGTTCTACGACCAGGTTCATGCTCAGGTGCCGCCACCAGCAAGCACATGGCTTTGAAACGACTTCCTTCTCAAAATCTCCTGTAGCGGAAAAAAGTGAGTTGAGTCACCGTGAAAGCGGTGGCCTCATCAATGGACATTGTTCTACGACCAGGTTCATGCTCAAGCAGCCAAGCGAAAACCGCAAAGGTCGAACTGCGCTTTGCCACATGTTGAGTCCTGGGAGGTCTGGCAATGCAGAACAGGGATGGCGGGGGACTGACTTTCGTGTCATGCCTTTGCTCTCTCCTTGTCGATATAATTTCGGCAAGGTGATCGGGTCATGTCGTCGCTACATCCAACTACCGTTCAACGGGGTCGACCCCTGACCAGTCCAACTGCCCGAAGAAGCAGCAGAGCTCTCATGAAGCTCGTGTTGGTCACAGGGCACGCACAAACCCGGTCAGTCGCTTTATGAGACAGGTTTTTTTTTCGTACGTAGTACCGCCTGTTACGATGCCATCCTTGCCTTCCCACATGAGATGACACGGTGGTTTTCGGATAGGCGTGCAAGTCTTGGCCGGTCACCTGATAAAGAGATGTGATTCGAGTTGTCGGGATCTATCTGACGTGAATCAGATTTGAAGCTTTGCTAGAGGAGGAGGAGAAGGAGGAGCAGGAGGAGGAGGAGGGGGAGGAGGGCGGAAGTCCTGCGGTTTGCTGCTGGCGAAAACATTCCAGACAATCGTTCCTGTTACGTGACAGAAGATTGCAGGTGTGAAAAGTGCTAGCGCCCACGAGTGTGTGTGGTCTAGCAGGTAGCCAGTCAGAGCCACCCCTAAGATGCCTGGGATAGAGCCTGCTGTGTTTGTCACTCCCAGCAATATGCTAGCGTAACGGGGCGAAATGTCTTGGTGAGTACAGTACAGACCGGCCAGGACGAAGGTGTTGAGCCCGAGGCCGCCTGTGAGTAGCGAGATAACCGCCGTTGTGTCCAGTTGCGGGTTTAATGCCGTGATCCCCAGGCAGGTCGCCGGCGACAAAAACCCGATGGTCTGGCACAGCTTTCTAACTACCGTGACATCTACGCCCCGGCCGATCAACCGATCAGCAAAAGGGGCCGCCACACTCGATACGGCAATGGAAGCCAATGGCGGCAGAAGAGACACAAGAGCAGCTTGGCTGAGATTCAGGTGAAGCTCGTCGCTGAAGTATGTCGGGAGCCATGCGAGTAACGTGTAGTGGCCCCAGTTATTGCAAAAGTGGGCGTAGATCATAGCCCAGACAGCCGGCGATTGGAAGAAAGCTCCCCAGGGAACAGGCTCGGATTCACTGCCGGCACTGGTACTGGTACGGATGCGAAGATTGCTCGGCGAAAATGGTAATAGCAGCGTATTACCTGACGTGTTGTCCATCCCTTTCTCAGTGGCAGGCTCATCTCCCTCGGAGTCAGTCTTCTGTGGTGCTCCATGCAACCCTCCCTTTTTGGGTATCTCACTCTCCTTGCACCTCCTTCCTTCCCCCGTCGTAACTTCATTGCGCACATTTTGCCGAGCGAGGATAACGTATCCGTCCTCCTCGCTCACCTGCTCATCTACACCACCTCCTTTTCCTTCCTCTCTGTCTCCTCCGTCGTGTTTGATCATCGGCTTAATCTGCTGCTGCCCCCAACCAGCAACCACCGTATTGACGCTAAGTGGCTCTGGGCCTTCTTCTCCTGAACTACCATTTCTCATCATCATATCAGTGACACTCGGTTGTTCCGTCGAGGTTTCTAACGTGCCTGCTGCATTGCCTTCGCTGTTCTCGTAGATCTGTTGCCCTTTTTGCAGAGAACGGCTCAACGCCGGCGATTCCAACCCTTCTCCACCACCTCCTCTTTGTCCTCGTCGTCCTGTTCCTGCATCGACCCCGTCGAGCTCGTCAGTCTGTTGTCCAAGTAAAAAAGGGGCATTTACCTTTGACAATTCTTCACCCGTGCTCCGAGTACTTGCACCGTCATCATCCTTCGCGTCGTCAACGGCTGGTGCAGGGTTTTCAAACAAAACGCACCATATCAGCCCAAAAAATCCGAACAAGTAGAAGACCGTCTCCCAGCTGAAGCGCTCAATGCAGGCGGGTGCAAGAAGGAACCCTACCACACTACCCGCATTCAGGCCTCCAAAGACGAACGACACGGCCCTGGACCGGTTGGCGGCAGGGATGGTCCTGGCGATGACATCTGTCGCTGCCGACGGTGCCACCCCCTCTCCCAGGCCGACCAAGAAACGCGAAAACAACAGTACCGGCAAGAATGGCGCTGCAACAGGGACTGCTGCCGTTGCCGCAGACCAGAGAAACACACCTGCTCGCAACACCGGTCCTCCCGTAAGCCGTGACGCCAGCCATCCGCCGGGCAATTGGCTCAGCACATATCCCCAGAAAAATGAAGACTGCACCAATCCAATTGTCGTCGCACTCCAGGACAGCTGGTGCGACATCGGGATGACAGCAATGCTCATATTGATCTTATCCATATTGCAAATGGCGAAGGCCACAGAGAGCGATGCTATCGTCCACAGCTGCTTAATGACATCATTCGTCACCTCCGTCGCTGTCTGAGCGATGCTGCCTTCGACCCCCATCTGCTCCACTTCCTCCACCCCCTTCTGCTTCTCCATTTCACCCGCCCTCCATTGCGTCTGGTCTGATCCAGAAGCATAAAACCTGCCGTCCTGCCCCCCGCTTGTAACAGCTTCTTCTTCAAGTCCCTCCCTCCTCTTTGGTCCCCTGTCACCCGCGCCCAGAAGCATATCCGACTTGCCTTGATGCGCGCCACGTCTGCATTGCCAGCCTCTGCTTTGGAGACTCGCCCCATGTACTTCCCCGTGACTATATCTGCCACCCCACGCCAGTGGTGACCACCATCCTGACCCAATTATCATTTGCGAGCTATGTTTCGGGTACAATTGCATTTTGGGTTGCAATCTGCACATGGCTGAACATCTAGCTCCTCCTCCTCCTAGGAAACCACCCCCACCCAAAGACTGCCGAGGAGAACTCCATTGCCTACGCTCCCGACAGTGCTCACCATATCTTTGTGAACCCCCATACGGCAGGTAAAAGAGGTCAGCCAGGGCCGCAGAGTTTTTATGAGAGGGACCGAAATCAAAGGAACGTGAGTTGGCAGCACGGCCACACTTTCCCAGGTTCCCTTTACAGGACAGGACAAGCATGGTGCCGTCCTCGTGAACCTGACCGCCGCCAAGGAAACGACAAAAGTAAGATACTTGAAGAGACTGACACATGGTGCTCACCCACGTCGTACGCTCCCCGATGCGAGAGCTTCGCCGTGGACTGATGACTCGGCAGACAGATGGACATATAAGTACCCCTGCCTGCCTGGACTGAAGGGCGGTCAGGGCACCACAGTACCCCTGCCTGGCCGGACTGAAGGGCGGTCAGGGCACCACAACCATAGAGGATAGTCGTGGCGCCAAGGAAGGAGGCGAGCAGTGGACGACGGGTTGGATCCTAGATAGTAAAAGTCCAATTGCAAGACAAGTGAAGCAATGCCAATGTCGTTCCTTCTCAGCTTGTGTCCGGCCGCGCTCGCCTTCCTGACGAAAGGCCCTCAGGCTGCCAGAACCATGTCAAGTGCCAGCAAGCATCCATTGCCAGAACCATGTCAAGTGCCAGCAAGCATCCATATGTTGCTCCAACACTCCCTGGCTTCATACAATGATGAAGGAATCTGCAACCAACCAAGCCATCAAGAGAAGCATTGGCGGCGGTACCAAGTCAGGCTAGAA